TGAAAAGTGATGCTGACTGAATTGAGTCCTGCCATTCTCTTTGGGAGGCTGCGGAGAATATAATGTAATATCCACACAGAGACTCCACCGAGCACTAAGGCTTGTGGATCAGTCTCTAAATGTCAATGCATTCTTTAAAGAAATGCAGAGATTGCTTCGTTGATGGTTGTATCTCCATATGAGAAGATTGTCCCCCAAAGGTGCCCACTGTATAGTCTTCAGCTGTTCTCTGCAAATAGCAAATAATCACACAAATGTTCCCTCCTGTATTATCCTTCCAATATATTATATTTTATTTGCCTTGCCCCCCCTCTCTCTCATTTAAATAATTTTAAACATAGCAAATTAATATAGAAATGAAATAGAACAGAATTAAGGCTAAAAACATGAGAGAGTATACAAATTGAAATAGGCTGACTTCCCTGTTTCTAGTGCTTCTCCAGGCTACTTATTCAGTGAGCATTCATCCTGATTTGCTTGCACAAATCTAAGATGGGGATTAGACTATGGGCTCCTCCAGATGTGGGGCAATACCTCTGATGGGGACATGGAGGTACTTGGGGGACATGGGGTAGTTTGTCCACCTGTGGTCCCCACTCTGCGCTCAGCTCTCACCTGTGGCTTCAACAAGCTGTCAGCATGTGACAGCAACCACACTCCAGAAACAGCTCTTACTGGCCAGCTGAACTACGTGAAGGTAGCTGATGGATTTCAAACCCTTGGTGAGTTACGGACTTGCCCTGCATGTGAAGACAGGCTTCATCAGACTGAGCAAACTGTACCAATAGTAAGTCCAATGGTCAAGAAGGCAGTTTCTGCACCTGCAATAGAAGGAAGTGAGGGGCAGGTGGGTCTCACCAACCTGGGAAGGTAGCCTATCTAGGAGAAGAAAGACTCTAATCCTAAACCTCTGTTGTCTTGTGGGATATCTTCAGGAGTAAACCCTGCACAAATCTGGAGTGGAGTCCCTAAGATGGTTGAAGGGCACCTTCTATGCTGCCTTCTGGCAACTCCTGCAGCCAAGCTGGTGTCATACATAGTGATTTGCTTTCCTTTGGACCACATCAGCAAGGCTGTGCGGGGACGACGACTTGTTGGCTGGGGAGCCCAGGACTCCCATACACACTTCCCAGGCTTGCATGCCAGGGAGCTCACTTTGGCCTTTCTCCTAACAGCCCAGATCCCAAGGTCTCATGCGCAAGCATCTTCTTGAGACATCAAGGGTTTTATCAGCCAGGATTCCAACCACAGGTTTTAGCCTGAACATTCTGACCTAGCCCGATTGGCATAGAAGCCTATGCCATAGTTTAGCACTATGTGGAGGAGCCTCCACAACCATGAGCAAAGCAATGGCGTCACATGGCCTGTGTAGTCAGGCAGAGAGCTTCCACTGTGTTTAGTTTCACCTCCAAATAATTTTGGCTAAGCACTACATATATACAAACCAGGGATCCTACTTTCAATGGACAACTTTTAGTTATTAAACAAGCCAACGTGGAACCACAAGACTACAAAACGCTTCGTTGAGCATTCATTTGCTTTCCAGATAGCTTCACCTGCATTTCTCATTCTGATCACTGTAAGTTATGCTTATGACAAAGTATAAACAAGGGCACAAGCATGAACCTAATGAAACATTGAATGAATTACATCCTGCTTCAAAGAAATGTATTAATGTGCCAGTCTGTGTTTGCTAAGAGAATCTTAACAAGAAGTGTGCTATTCAGCTCACACATTTCCAGGACATAAAACCTGGGCAATAAACACTCCTCAATTATTAATTAACTAACTTAAACTGTTGTGGCTAGATAATGAACTGGGTACACACCCCTTTTCTAATAGGCCCATACTTTATATTTTGTGTGCAATTAATTTATATGATTTTTTAAAAATATAGTCATCTGGCAGTAATGGAAGAAATAACTGCTTAAAGGTTCTTTGTAGAGCTATGTAACATGGCTAATGTGTGGAAGCAGGGTTCAGGTGAAGCATTCTGGCCTTTAGCATTTGTACGACATCTTCTAGCATTTGTGAATTAGGGATCAATCCTATATACAAGAAGCTGTGTAAGTCAGTGCAAATTAAGCTGGCATAAAGGACACCAGATCTGAATATAATTCAGAAACTGGACTGCTTCTGGCTAAGTCTACCTAAGCTTAGCAGATATGAACATGCTTTTTAGGGAGCAATCCTATAGAAAGATATGCAGGGATGCGTGAGTTAGGATCCAGCAAATTTCGGGAGCTTCCTGGAACAACTAGGCTATGCCGCCTTAACACCCACATCCTCAGCTCAGCCAGAGATAGTTGGTGTATCTTGTCCATCGCAGCTCAGCTGGCCCCCAGATGGCTGAGCTGAGCCTGGTGGATCTTAAATCACAGTAAGCCCAGAAAGGGGGGTGATTCAGGGATGGATCCCAAAAGAGGGTATTTGGGTTGGATTCTAAGCCTGTTCAGCTTACTAATGACCTGTCAACATAGCAAAAAGGGCGGTGTAGCATATCTTTCCTCTGCCAGGCTTAAACCAGCTCAACTAGCAACAGCAACCCTATTAATCCTGGTGCATCTTGCTATAGGGTTAGCATATGCAATGGGAAATCAGCACTTCTCTGTCTTGCTTCAAGGGAATGATCATATCAGAGGTGGATTTAGGGCAGTGCAACCAGTGCTGCTCCATTGGGTGCTGAGCCTAGAGGAAGTTACAGTGTCACAACCAGGATATAGTGAATTGAGCAGAATGGAAGGCAAGAGGTTGTGTGTGTGTGTGGATTTTGGCCTTGCAAAGGACGGTGCTGAAATTTGGAATTCCAAAGTCCATACCTGAACACATTACTAGATTTTATGCTCTTGCAGTTCTTCATGTTTCCTTTGGATTTGCTCATTAATAATCTCCATGGGATTCCAAATAGACCTTGGTAGGTCTGTTCTGCTATACTAAGCTAAAAGTTGCTATTGATGACTCGGCAAGGGTGGTTTGTGTTTTTCTCCTGAGCAGCTAATTCATTGAGGGGCTCATATTGAGCAAGATATTTTTCTCATGATCAAAAGCAACTTTCTCAAGCTTCCTAATCAATAGTTTCTACAGAGTCCCTTAAACACTATTGTCTGCTTCAGGGACCATGAAGCACAAGTGAAAATGAGCTTAGCAGGGAGAAGCACAAATCTATTGATCTGTTATCTTTGAAGACTTTGTTATTTACTGCTTTCCATGCCCCCAATTCCAAGCTTTATGGGCCACAATTTGAGAATATAGTCACTCCTTTATACCAACAAAAACTCTTCTGAACATAAATGATTTGGTAATTATTTGCGGTTACAATTGGTGTCACTTAAATAGGACAACTTTCACACATCACAAAATCAGTTCCGGTAACCACAGAGCTACACGGAATATTGCCAAGTCTGTGCTAAATCTCATAGTAAATGGTAAATGGCTTGTAAAATAGGGACTAAATCCAGGGCAGTACACTTGTGCAGATCCCATTTATTTATTTCAATGATACTTGTATAAGAGACCTTTCACAGTTACAGGTAGGTAGCCGTGTTGGTCTGCCGTAGTCGACACAAAATAAAAAAATTCCTTCCAGTAGCACCTTAGAGCCCAACTAAGTTTGTTATTGGTATGAGCTTTCATGTGAATATCCTGGGAGATTGAAGTGTTCTCCTACTGGTTTCTCTGTCTTGTGACTCCTGATATCAGATTTATGTCCCTTTATCCTTTGGCATAGGGTTTGGCCTGTTTGTCCAATATAGAGAGCTGAAGGGCACTGTTGGCGTTTGATGGCATACAGAACGTTAGAAGATGAGCAATTAAATAGTCCTGAGCTGTGCTGCTGATTTGGAGGAATCAGACATTCTGTACAAGATCTTAAAGTAGCTATCTTATTACAAAAGAATTTCAGAATTAGACTGGAAAGAGAAGTTGCTGAATTGCAACTTATTGCCAGACTTAAAACCATGGAGAGACCTGGTCTGAATAGAGACATTGGATTCTTATCTCATTATACATTAGCCATCTCACCCCTTGCTTTTTCCTGTAAGACCAATTGCAGTCGTTAACAGTCATCAACAGGTTTACCACACCTATCAGCCAATCACCCATTCCTACCACCCTTCTGAATAATACCCCTCCCCACCCTCTCACTATATATAAGGGTCTGGTGACTTCTGTTTCATCTGAAGAAGTGTGCATGCACACAAAAGGTCATATTAATAACAAACTTAGTTGGTCTCTAAGGTGCTAATGGAAAGACCTTTCACAGGAATTGAAACCCAAGGCATCGGGTATCTACTGCTTATTTGTTTATTTTTTTTCTATAAGGTTCTAATTTTCCCCCAGCTACCAGTTGATTAAAAACACCCCATCACAACAGTGGATAATAAAATCATTAAAACATTATAAAATCATGAAATACAGAAACGGCCAACACTGAATCATATTAATACACGTAAAAGGCTCAGTGAAACAGCAACATTTTCATTAGGTGCTGAAATATCAGAATTGCGGGTGCCTGCCAGATATCAATGGAAACAGTGTTCCAAACATAACCTCAGTGTGTGCAGAACCTAAATGAGTATGAGATATCTGTGGGACAGTTGTGAAGAAAATACTGTAATAAATTAATTTTTGCCTAAGTGATTATCATCCTCTTTCTCTTGAGAGTTGAATACCCTCAGAAGTAGCCTGCCAGAGACTGCAGCATTGAAGGATTGCATAGTTTATTTCTCTAGGTGCTTTCTCCTTCCCTTCCTCCATCCCAAGTTTTGGCACCACCTCCTCCTCATTTTCTCATTTCCTTGCCCGAGGTCCCAACTGATTGCCTGTAGAAGGTTACATAGAGATCCCTAGCTCAGAAGCAGAGATCTGCTTTGCTTGGAAAATATATCAGGTTCAATCCTCAACATTCCTGGGTAGGGTTGGGAAAGAATCCCTGTCTGGAACCCTGGAGAGCTGCTGCAAGACAATGTAGATGGGACTGAGCTACATGGGCCAATAGCCTGGCTTGGTATTAAGGGCTCAGTTGGTACATCATGAGACTCTTAATCTTAGGATCATGAGTTCAAGCCCTACATTGGGCAAAAAGGTCCCTGCATTGCAGGGAGTGGGACTTGGGGTCCCTTCCAACTCTACAATTCCATGATTCTGTGATTCCTATGCTCCTTTTACTGCAACCATTTTGGCTGTTTCCTTGATTTGCACCCCCCCATGAAATTAGGCTGAGAGGGCTCCATTAAATTAGGCAGAGGGCCGGCCATAAGTTTCCCTCCCCTGCCCTAGAGGTAGGGGGGGAAAAAACTAATCTTGCTCCTCTTACATTTTAATAATATCCTTTTTATACCTGGGTATAATTTCTCTTATAGTCTTGTCTATTCTTTTAAGAAAAAATGGGGAAGGGGACCCCCAAATACTTGGCTTTGAGCATTTTTGGTACTGTAATTTGAAAATGTGGAGAAGATATCTCAAGTCACAACAACAGCATGGAATGTAACAAAGTTTAATAGAACAACGTTTCTAGGTAAAGAACTATATTGTAAATGTGGAGTTAAAGAATAAGGTGAGAGGCACAGAGACAGAAGATTCCACATGCAAACATTTGTTTCTGAAGAGTCAATAAGAGGCTACAATTTACTCTGAAGAAATGCCTTCCCATCTCCGTAATATTTCAGCAATATCTGACAAGCAGTCACAGTGCATCTTGTTTTTGTTCAAATGTATTATCAGAATTTTAAATTGCTGAATTAAATGAAAAACCATATTTATTACTCTACTGAGCATATAAACAGTTTTGAATAATACCTCACAAAGTCATCTGTCTGAGTGCATATCTATCTTCCAAGATAATGCCCTTTGCTGGCCAGGATTGAAGATGGAAAGGTGTGCATGTAGCTGGACTCTACTGTGACAAGGTGCTCTGCATTCATTGCTCCACCCATTTTTTGCCTCTGGCCACACCTGCCACTGGAATGCTGCTCCTGGAAGGTTGCCCATGAAGGAAAGTGATCCTCAAGCATCCATCATAATCCATTTGGGCTTAGATATAGGCATGTCGTGGTTCAAAAGGAAACAAGACTTTTTCCATCAGAAGCTGGCTGCTGCTGCTAGGTGTGTTGTTCCTTGCATTGTGAAGTGAAGCTGGAAACTGTTATGTGTTAACAACCAGTGCATGATTGAATCAGCGCATCCATTTGTCCATCAAACAGCCTGTACTGACAGGCAGGAAATCTCCAAGGTTTCAGGCAGAAGTTTTTCACATCACCTCTTATCTAACTCTTTTAAAGCCTAGAGTTGCTACAGATTGAACCTGAAGCCTTCTGCATATACTGAACTGTAGTCTCTACCTACCACAGCAAACATGTGCATGCAACATATTTAAGCTTGTAAATAAGGTGTGGTGTTTTTTATGAATTGTGCATATTTCTAAGACTTCACAGGACAAAAATTGCCTGAAAGATGCATGGTGGACTCAAAGGAATAGCAGCTTGATGATTATTTATAAGTAGTGCCCGCTAACCAGTTTAACTAATCACATTTTAATTTAATACATTTGGCAATTTCATATTTATTGTACACAAATAGAGATTTTATGAGCATGCCTCCATGTTACTAATGTTTAGTATGTAGGCTACCCTCTAGAGTCTGACCCTGCGGAACGCAAATATCAAATAAATAGAAACAAATTAAAGTCTGATAGGCCTCCAGAGTCCTGCTTGCTGAGCAAATAAAGCAGTCCCTCTCCTCATCATTCAACAAATCCTTTAAACTGATTAAAATAAAACATTTCCTGCAAAGCTGAGTTTCCAATTTCCTTTTTGTACCCCCCCTCCCTTATGATATTTTATTAGGCGGCATAGAGAAAAGAATACCGCCTTTATTTACACTTAGCTCTTTGCGTATTGCAAAGTGTTTTTCAGTAGAGAACTCGCTCACCCCAGTTTTCTACTTATACTGTTCGTGAATAAAGGACTTATTTTAAGAGGGTACCATTTAGGGAAGGGGGCATGCAAATTTAAAGACCTTTCCCACATTTAATACTGCATAAATTAAAGATAAATATTTAGATTTGTCATGTTCTGCAGGAGCTCAATGCATCTAGAACATCTGCAGGACCTTGGAGAGCTCTCAAAGTCTGAGGTTTACAGGCTGTAAACTCTTGCTCCAACAGAGGTATTCTGCTCCAAGGGTCCTCAACTTATTTTGCAGTCTTTTACTCCTACAGCGCCAGGGAGACAGAAGTTCCTTGGGAGATTCCTCTGAATAAAAGGAGGATGATAAAGCTGTGTCCTCCTGTTAGGAGGGCTTTGAAGACAGACTAGTCCATTCTTTCCCTAAGGATGTACAGTGGTACCTCGGGTTACATACGCTTCAGGTTACATACGCTTCAGGTTACAGACTCCACTAACCCAGAAATAATGCTTCAGGTTAAGAACTTTGCTTCAGGATGAGAACAGAAATCATGCTCTGGTGGCGCGGCAGCAGCAGGAGGCCCCATTAGTGGTGCTTCAGGTTAAGAACAGTTTCAGGTTAAGAACGGACCTCCGGAACGAATTAAGTACTTAACCTGAGGTACCACTGTACCCAAAACCTTACCCTCCTCTGAATTCTCCACCACACAGTGCATGGTCTGTGAGTCCTGGGTGATAAGAGTATTTTGCAGAATGTTGTCCCCACTTTGCCCTGCTAGAGTTGTTAACTGACCAGAACAATTTGAATATAACTTCATTTTTTTACATACTTGCATCCCCCACCCCCACCCCAAAAATAAGAGTATGGAAAGCAGTGATTAAAATGGGATATTTTGTTACATAGGGCATTGCCCAATCCATGCCGACCCTCCAAATGTCTATCCCACTCTAGCAAGTGATTCAATGGAGGGGGGGGAAATCACTGAATTGAACTGACACATTCAAACCTCAAACAGATAGTGCTGTTTAAGAACTCTGTGATGGAAGGGTTTAGAGACTGAATTAGGGAGAAGCACTGTTAAAAACGGAGATAAAGGACTGAACATCATTGTCTGCTACTTGATTGCAATGTGCTATTTTGTTTCTTTGCAACATCTTTTGTAATTAGTTTTAAGACTGTTCTGCAGTAAAGCTTTGAAAGTCATCTCTTGTGGTGGAAAGTTCATTCATTTCTACAAAAGGTCCAGATAAAGGCTCCTGCGGCAACAACTCTAACACAGAGGGCACTATGCCAGAGAATCAGCTTTCTACAGACCTCAGTGAACAACAACAGCAACAAGGTTCCTAGTCCAAGAAAAGGAATATTGAAAATCATACTTTAAGCTAGCAGGTTTCCTAGCATACTCCCTTTTTGCAACATCCAGTGCTCAGGGTACTAGAAAATCCAATGAGCAGCCTAGCCCAGTAGATGTATCCAGCCGGGTTTGTTTATTTATGTCTGTGTTTCTAGGCACCAAATACATTACAATGTTGTTACTTCTAGTCACAAGCAGAAGAGACAAATGGAGGTGTGCTATAATAATAAGCCAGCTGTCGAGTTGAGAAAGGGATTTCTGTGGAATAGTGATAGAGATGTACTGCAACCTTCAGCAATTTAATTAGCTGCTTGGTCAATGCAAGACAACTCTCTTGGAGGCAAAATGAAAAGGTCACTTCAAATCCCAAGCAAGAGTGGGTGTCTTTAGTCATCACTGGTGACACATTTTTAAATATAGCTACTTGGTCTTCTGGCATTGACAGTCTACACCAAACAACTGACAAGTACAAATGCAGTTGAATCCCTCTGTTCACCTCCCTTTAACATTATAGCTTGATAAAACTACAGGGTGCTGTTCTTCCACTTCTACAACATAGGCCTCAGAACCACCACAAACACCACTGTTCAGATGATGTATTGTTGATCTAAAATTCCTGGCGTGGTGCAAACCAATCCTAGACACATTTACTCAGAAGTTAACCTCTCTGTGTTGACTAGGGTTTGCTTGCTAATAAGTATGCAGCATTACACATGGTCTTTTCAAGCGCTGTTCATGTCTGTGGATGTTGTCATGCTTTCAGAACTATGCCCCATCACCACTACCATTGGATTAGCAATGCAGGCATCTCTTGTGCTGCATGTATTCTTTAAGAGTTAAGACTCGACAATAAGGAGTTGATGGCTGCAATCTGAACTATCCATCCCTGGCAGGGCTTCATGGAGTGGGGCCACCATTGACAGCCCTGCAGTTCACAGTATCTGGGGGAGCAGAAAGATTGTTGCACAAAACCTGGAGTCAGTGCAGCAGTCAGGCCTAAATTGGGCCTCATGCCATTGTGTGGCGGTAGTGAAACTGGTTTGAGATCCAAAGTATCTTGGCCTAAATGCCACCCTGCTTTTAGAACACCCCATTTCATGTCTTTTGGTTGATTTGTGTGCCAGGGAAAGACCAGATTCGCTGGGAAAGCTGGGCAGAGCATGGAACATGAGCATGGAAGAAGCCCCAACCTGTGAAGAGAGCCCCTTCATGTGCTTCAGTAAGCATGGGATACTTTCTTTGAACCACAATCCTGCTCACCCCTTTTGGCGGTTTGTGTTTTTCAAAACATTTGTATCGTGCTTTAGGGTTCATACTGATTTTTTTAAAAAGTCATTCATATTTCCATCATTTTCCAGTAAAGAATAATATTGATTATGCCTTATTTTACACGATCAAAACAAGCTTCACAAATATTTCTGACAGCCCAGATAGCTCAATTGGTTAGAGAATGGTGCTGATAATGCCAGGGTTGCAGGTTTGAAGAAGAAGAAGAAGAAGAAGAGTTTGGATTTGATATCCCGCCTTTCACTCCCCTTCAGGAGTCTCAAAGCGGCTAACATTCTTCTTTCCCTTCCTCCCCCACAACAAACACTCTGTGAGGTGAGTGGGGCTGAGAGACTTCAAAGAAGTGTGACTGGCCCAAGGTCACCCAGCAGCTGCATGTGGAGGAGCGGAGACGCGAACCCGGTTCCCCAGATTAGGAGACTACCGCTCTTAACCACTACACCACACTGGCTCTCTGTATGGGACAGCTGCATATTCCTGCATTTCAGGGGTTGGATTAGGTGATCCTCAGGGTCCTTTCCAACTCTACAATTC